ATCTGATTTCGACCCGATAAAAATTCAATGGCGAGGGGGAGTATTAGAAATACGCAAGAAAAACAACTTTGAGATTCATTAGTCGTATGACCAGAGCTCCAGAGAGTAATATCGAATTTTGCTCGAACCCAGAGTTTTATTACACAACTTTCGATGATAGCCTAATGTCATGTAGTTGAATTTCACTGTTGGAACACCTCCCTTATTCAGCAGATCTGATTCCGTTCGACCACCATGTAATTCTACGACTGTTTTATATTTGAAAAAAATTACACCTTCAAAGCATTGCAGAAAGAGAACTCGACGACAAAGAAAAATGCTTGAATAAGGGGCGTCCATAACAATGGAAATGGACGAGAAAAGTAATGCAATTCTTTCTTTTTTATATGATGGTAGTATTTCAACTGATAATATCTGCGAAGGACAGAAATGATTAGTTTCTTTGTACTTCCTGCGCGAACCGATTGAAAGCCTTGATTTATTAATCTTTGCGTCCGACGAGACGCAAGAAATATCGTCTCAATTATCGAATAATACGTGTACGGACTGAGATATACCGATATATTCTGTGAAAAACAACGGAAATTGGTCTACAGGCGTACGGCGACTTTTTGTTGTCATTCTACTACATTTTTCCAGCTACTGCAAATGCAGTTTCTATTCCAAATGAGGTACTGGTGGTGTTGTGCCTCAGTGTTTCACCTATACTGGTGAAAATGATCACTCTAATATGGAAGCATGGTGGGCCTATAAAAGTTGTATAATATGTTGATTGAATTTTGTGTGCTCTTTGCTATAATATGGCGTATTAACTTTTGATTATTCCACTAGGGTTGCCCAAAATAGTGCCCAAATGATATTTGTCATCATGACGAAAAAATGTAAAGAGTCAATTTTGAGTTTTCTAATTTTCCTCATATTAATAAACTCTTCAACTGTCCAAAATTATGGATTCTTCTGATAAATAACGGTAGACAAGAGCGTATGCCACGAATGGACAGACGGACATCCAGACAGACAGTTAAAACAAGAGACTGAAGTAGTTGAGTTTTTCACACTCGAATAGATGAGAATAGAATATATTCATTTGAATACATTACAATGTTTGTTTGTAGCATGTCATATTGAGAAAAAAAACCGCAGAATAAATAATAATTGTTAAAATATTATTCCAAAATTTCACAATGAAATACAACCACATTTAAAAAAATTGACAAACTAAGGAATTTTAAAACTGAAATAAAGAACTATATCCTGGAAAACAAGGAAACTTTCTATAAAATACAACGATAGTGAATAACACCCACCTTTTGCTGCTATCCCTGTCCTCTACAAATCGTCGAATATCTTTTAGAATTTTGGTAAAAATACGTGCACACATTGAATATACAGGTGTTTTGAAGTTCTGCTCTACTCTAATTAACTTTCTTATTTTTTAAATTTTTCATCTTATAAAACTTTGCCTGCCAAAATTTTCAAGATAATTTTATGTACAATACTAATAGTTTTTTTGAAGCCCTGGATAAAACACACACACAGGCAATTGTGCCTAGGTATGTTTTAGTCAGAGAGCAAATCTAACCCCATTTTATAAAAAAAAATTGTAAATTTTTTTTTGTACATACAATACTTGAATAAATTTAAAACTTGAAACTCATAACCTATAATGTAATATAATGTAATTTTTGAAAATAATATTAAAACAAGAAACGACAGTTAAAAAAACCATAGAAAATAAAATAAAATTTGAAAAATTTAACGAGACGAATTTTATTCCCTACAAAGTCTTAAATGTTCAATGTATTCCTCTGTGGAATAAAAACAATGCGTCAAAAGTAAGTTTTTTATCCTTATTTTGAATAAATGTATACTTAATGATTTTAATTTCGATGGTAATATATTGTAGAGATAATAATTTAGTGAATTTTTCTTGGATTTGGTTAGGCGAAACCTGTTTGATCTCAGGTTATCTGTTTGTCTGATAGGCCAGCTATGTGTGTCCAATTGCTTGGTGAGCATCGAGGAGTTTTTGTAAATCTCTGTTAGAACTTTAAAAATGTACAAACACGGTAAGGGCATTATTTTGTGCTTAATAAAGAGAGGTTGGCAGGTTTTCTGTAAACGAAAAATTGAGAGAGAATTCGATGAACCACTCCAGAGAATAGTAGCGTAACTTATGTGTGAATGAAAGAATTTAAATTGGTTATAGTTTGAAGCTGTCGTAGGAAAAACAGAGCACTGCATAGTTTACTTCTCAATTTGGTAATATGAGGTTTCCACGATAGATCACTATCCAGAGTTACTCCTAGTAGATTTACAGAATGAGTTTCTATGGCATTCATAGAGGAAAGATAAAGATACTGAGATTTATCGTTATAGAGTTTACCTTTATTGGCTGCAATTTCGGATTTAATATCTAAGTCTTCTTGAATTCTGTGCAGATCTGATCTCAGTTTGCCAGAATATATGAACGTAGTATCATCTGCAAACGAATAAGTTTTTACCGGAACCATACGGTTACTTATGTCGTTAGTATATACTATAAACAATAACGGTCCTAATACTGACCACTGAGGAACACCACGTTCATTGTATTTGAAATCAGATAAGGAATTTCCAATACTTACCGCTTGAAGGCGGTTTTTCAAATTGGATTGTATCAGATTGAGTGGTAACCCCCTAATCCCGTAGATGTTTAATTTTTCAAGCAATATATCATGTGACACGCAATGAAATGCTTTGGAAAGGTCACACAAGGTGATAGTCGCTTGCATCCCATCTTTCAATGTAGATATTGTCTTTCACGACATTCATGACTGCGATAGTAGTAGAGCGATTTGGTCGAAAGTCATATTGGTATATGATTATGTTGGAAATCGTAGGTAAAACAGAAAGTGTGAAATACAATGTTATTGTGTATCTTGGTTGGTTTCACTTCACGGTTTTTAAAATTCCAGAACTATCAGGCTTCCAAAAAATGCTTAACTGTTCCACCAAATATTTATGATCATTAATAGACGACATTCACAACGAGACATAACAAACAATCGCAAATAGCCCCAAGATGCCAACAACTTTTAATAAGTTAATCGATCGATGTAACGAAAATACCCATTAGTTAATCGGACAAAGTAATATCTCCATTGTATCCGCCTTTTTTAGGGTTCATAAATTTCCGGGGATGGTTTCACTTTCATTAACTTTGGACTACTTCCGGAAAATTGAAATTTACGCCGAACAACTTTTTCCGGTAATAAATAAATTTCGGTCATGCGGGACCGTTCAATCTGAAGCGTCTAACCTAATTATTGAGGAGATAAAAATATGAATGAATAGTTCAAACAGATCTCAAAAAATGTTCCGAATTTAAAAAAGAAAGATATATTTGCATTTCCTCATTTTCTGATAGTTGTGATAAATGAAACATTTTCTTATTATTAATTTTGTAGTTTCTCACGATATATCACAAGATTCAATTCTTGCTTCACAAAACCGACATCCTCAACATAATGCCCTGATCAAAACAGTTTTCAATTATTACTCTTGTGATTCTCAACGAGAATAAACACCGGAGTTGTAGATTACGCAACAGAAAGAAATCAAGTTGAAAAGCTTACAATTCTTTGTACACGGAGCCATTCAGTTGTTTCTTAGGTGATAAATTTGAAATTTGAAACGAAGAATTTGAAATTTGAAATCAAGAATTTCAGATAGAACCATGTATATTTTTCAAACCATTCTATGGAACATACATTTCATTTTCAAAATGACGAAGTAGGAGTATGGTAACAATTTGTCGTCATTTATGGAAATATTTTGAAAGAAATTGATATAGTGAAAAACAAAAGAGGAACCTTGCTCATGTTTCGAATGAACGAATATGGCGATACCATAGTTTAGTAACGCCATGTAAGGTCGTTTGCAAAAACATGAAAAACAAACTCTCGTACAAAAACTTCTTTTGAATCAATAAAACAAATGAAACTTCTCTACACTTACGCTAAATGGAAACTGTCAATTGATGACAATAAATATGTAGTAGTAGTATTTTTGGATTTCAAAAGAGCGTTCGAAACTATAGATATATCTATTTTGCTATCAAAATTAGAGTACTATGGAATAACTGGTAGGGTGTTGCTATGGTTCAGAAGTTATTTACTCAAAAGACCTCAATGTACTAAAATAAACAACGTTCTATCAAGCCAAAAAGTAATTGATACCGGGGTCCCCCAAGGGAGTGTACTTGGCCCTGTTTTATTCATACTTTATTTGAATGACATAAATTTTATTAGTGAGTGTGAATTCATCAACATCTTTGCAGATGATGTTCTCATTGCAGCAAGCGATGCTAGAATTAGTAGACAATTAACTTTCCAATCTAATTTGACTGTTTATAAAACAATAATCATACCACACTTTGTTTACTATGCTACTTTGATATCATTACCAGACGGTAATTCTATCTCTACTCTACAAAAATTACAAAACAGAGGAATGCGCTTGTTATTAAAATGCCATAAATATACTCCTATATTATCAATGATTAATATTCTGAATTGGATGACAGTAAAAGGTAGATTACAATATTTTTCTATGATATTCATATTCAAAATAATCACTGGAAAAGCACCACATTACTTCAATGAGTTTATTATATATAACCATCAGATACACAAATACGATACAAGAGGAAGAGATGACTTGGTTGTCCCACGAACTAACCTTGCAAGAACAATGAATTCAATTTTTCACAGAGGACTCTTGGACTATAACAAGCTTCCAATTGAGTTGTCCATCATTCTTCTCTCTATTGATCTCTTCATCATCTACTACTGCTATGTTTTACCCAATATATTCCATTATATGGGGTCTTCTATATTTCATTTTTTTGTAATTCTGTTTAATAACTGATATATTTGTATTATATTTATGTATATTAGGATATCTATTTCAAATAAATCTATTTCTATTTCTAAAACGCAACACCTAGAGCCACCTACCTGCACTTCTCTGAATCCCATCTCGTCCTCGTCCTCCGTCTGTAATCCTCTCGTAACGGTAATCCTTCCACCGCGCTGGTGCTGCGCCGCCGTCGCCGCTACGGCGGGATCCGGAGGCGGCGGTACGGGCGCGCCCTCTGACTCCTGCCGGATGAACTGAATGCGACCCGCCTCGACGCAGATATTGGGCGCCAGAGGGTAGCACGAGTTGTGGGACGGCGGCGGCGTGGGCGGTCGATCGCCGATCGGCGGGGGCGGTTTTTCGTAACAGATGATCGTCTGGCGGGTGTCGAGTACCGGGTGGACCTGGAAAACGGAGGAAATGGGTCAGTGGGTTGAGTAATAATCGGGTACATGCCAACTCATAACCAAATAATCATCTACTCGGGCAAGCCAATTCATAACCAGTCACACACACACACACACATCCTTTTAGAAAAATAATTCAATTGATTTAAAAAAACCACTAAAATTTACGAAAAGTTGCAAATCGAACTTTGTGTAGTTTTGGGTGATGAGTTGGCCTGCTTATGTTAATGAGAATTAAGACTGATGACAATGACATGTGAATTATAGACATCGGCAAAAATATATTCTTTAGTTATTACATATTTTCCACAGGAAACCTTAGTATTTCCATTAACGACATTTATTATGTTTAAACTAAAGCTTCAAGGCAGGAGTTGATATATTCTTATGTAGAGATAATGATCTACATAGCATACAAGAGTAAGAACACCTCAAGTGGACATTCAACATCGACAAGGACAACAAATTGGGTGTCTACAAGCTAGAATGTGACTCGTGCTCAACAACTTATATTGGGAGAACATCTGAAAATTTCAAAACCAGAATCTCAGAACACAAAAGAAGTTTGAATTGAAGGGGTTATATTTTTATATATAAAAATATAACCCCTTCAATTCAAATAAGATTCCTCTTGGCTGGGATTGAATCAAATAGGTGAATGAATGTCATTACGATGTTGTCGATGACATAAGCAGATCAAGCTTATTCCGTGACATTAAAAAATCGTAATTCATGAATGAATTGTGTGTATTTTCTATAATGTTATCCAATTTGGTACTGAAGAGCCTTGGGGAAAGTGTCTTAAGGCGAAACATCGGTGTATACCAGTGAGGATGACAGTGTTCTATGTAAGTGCAATTTTTACCATTCATTTAAAGTAGAACTCATGTGAATATCTGATTTTTATTCCACAAAGAATGTTCGAAATACAAACTGAGAAGAGAAAAATATCTTCTGTATAATTCAGTGTTCATATAGAAGTATTTGTTTCGAAAAAAATTTTTTCTTTCGTGTAATTCAATGTTTATATGAAAGTAGCTGTTTCAGGAGGACTTTCTTTCAGTTTATGTCTGAAAATTACTTCTTTGCATGATCTACACATCCATATATAGAGCTACTTATTTTCAAATTGATTACTTTCTTTGGAAGATTCCTTATCCTTTTTTTTTGTATCAAGATGGAGTGGTAGAAAGCCAAAAACTTTCTTTCCCAAAAAAACAAAAGAAGTTTTTGATTGAAAAAAACCAATTCAACCTATGCATGCCACCTGTTAGATAACAACTACGACTTCGACATAAAACTACGATATACTACTACATACGGAAAATTAAGGACGAAAATTCAACCTGTAGAATCCCTGGAATCAATCAAATTTTTATTGAACGACCAAAAAAAAACAGTTGATTTCTAATAGTTTTTACCTGCTTTGTACCTGTTGGTTACTTGTTCTTAAAACTACCTGTTGACCAAATATTATGCAAACGCTAACAAAAAAAAGAAATGGCAGAAGTGCGCGATTCAAAAAAGTATCTCAACAATTTATTTGAAATCGAAATATGGCACCCTGGACATCAAAAAAAATATAAAAAAAATTACATGAAAAGTCTACCGTATTTGCAAACAAAACGCCAGACAAAAAACCTACTGAAAAGCTATTGACCACGGCCAGGAAACCTAAAAATTAATTTTAACACAGGTATCTGACCGTGAAAGTTGGCAGTCATTGAACTCTTCGACTGTAATTCTCAAACTGAAATCCACAGTTTTTCACTTCTGGATTCCAAGACAATGAAACTGGTTCTAATTTTTAACCGAATGAAAATTAAAAATTTTGATTTTCAATATTATATTCATAAAATATATTGATTGTTGAAGTTGATGTTTGTGGTATAAAACTAACACAATAATAAAAACTTACCTGATGTGATCGTAACTGGGCCTTATCTCTGTCGCCGTCGAGAGAATTGGTTTCTCCACCGGGAATTCTGGACCCAGCGTTGGACCTGAAAAAAAAAGTTGGTTAGCTTTGATCTACTTTCAGAAGAGGAAGCACAGAATCAGGTTTTTTTCAAAATTATATCAAATACTACCAGAATAAACAATTTTTGTCTACCGATGGGCTAAAGCACACTCATTCACGTCTTTTTGATTACCAAAAAATGTTTTATTCTGATCCATTCAATTTATTATTGCTGATAAAATTGAAATAAAGGACACTGTCCCCGTATTTTTTTATCGTGAAAATGAAATAAACAAAATGAATTCAGCTTTGTATTCACTTACATTCATCTCAGAAGTGAAAGGTATGTGTATTTAGGTATGAAAGTACCCCGAATTTTCAAGATGATAAACAGAACGATATGAGACCAGTATTTCGGTAATCAAAATTCCTCCAGGTTCCAGGACCGGTTTCCAAATTCATAAGCGATATACATTCCAAGATGCAAAATAACTCACGATAAAAACACCGTGGAAGAGATGACGATATGCAACACGGGATAAAATTTCACGAGGCGGCACTTTTGATGTGTCAGATTACCCGAACTGAGAACGAAATTCAACGGGATCCAGTTAAGTACAAAGCTCTCGGCACGCACAGTGGTCGGATCATAAAATAACCTGAAAATTACCAGAAAATTGAATTGAGATTGCCGTTTCGGAATTATGACTAGTGGATATTTTATAATCTTTTTCACCGACACAAAATTACTGCAGATCAACTTGCATACATAAATAGTCTGCAAACAGCAATGAATGTTGAAAAAATTGAATACTGTATTTTGTATTTTCATCAAATATGGGCCAAGTCTCTAATCCAGTGTTCTCCCTTTTGAACTAAAATCACTTTAGTTCCTACGAATTAAATCTTCTTTTTCTCTATTATATTCATAAAATATTGATTTTTTTCTCAATAATTGAAAAATAAATATTTAGAAATGAAATTTCGACACATTCCCCTCTCCCAACGTTTTTACACAGTGGGATTTGGTAAAGGTCTGCCGGAAAACAACTATATCCTCGGCGGATGTCACGATGGATTTTGAATTTTATCCGAGATATATTTATGTAATACTTTGGATTGCTGCCTTTTTTCAGTTATTTTTTCATCAGTGCTTCTAAAACGTATAGGGTCAGGCTTCTTTTGGCAATATATTCAACGTTTTAAGTGCTGTAAGCCTGACCTCATCAAAAAAGTTTAGGAGAGTTGACATCTTGATAATTTATAGAATATGAAAGACCTCACAAAAATATTAGTCATTTAAGAACTTGGGCTATCACGGTCGAAGATAACAAAATCCGGGCTGGTAGGTCTTGGTCGAACAAAACTGGTAGTGCGAAGTTTCGTCTGCTATTGGTAAACATTATCAGTGGTATATGCGTGGACTGACTCATACTTTGCAAAAAAATCTAATATTTTCAACGTGTTTTGATATAAGAGACAGAGAAAAATTAGAATTTCAATAATTATTACAACAGACTCTGCATAACCTAGCAACGATTAATGTATATTTTCTGAAGCTAAACAAAAGTAGGTACTTTCTCATGTGGTCTGCCACCAGCGTACCGTAATGATATGAACATATAGATTGAAGTCTCGATTGCATTATATATCATACGCAAGTTTGCATGTAATAGCAATCATTACAGGCTTCCATAAATAATAATCAATTTTCAAATCATAGCTCTTGTCGAGGAAATAAGACGTGTACGCGTACGTGATAACTTTCCATAAACGGATTCATTTTTGCAAAATGGAATGATAGAGATGAAAAATTACTGAAAGCAACGAAGTTGGAGATAATAAATCATGCACGCCATGTCAGTTTCAATCATGATTTTATAATGGATTCTCAGCGAATTTATAGTACGAGGAAATATGAGACAGGTATATTACGGCCAATTGATCTTTACACTTGCATAATTTTTCAATATACCCAGTTAACCCTGTAAATGTTTTTCTAACTGTTGTGTAATGAATGCCATTATTATTGTTATTATTATTGTGAATTTACGCATCCAAAATGGGCCCACAAAGTAATGAATATTAAAAAAAGCTTTTATTTTTGAAACTCACCAAAAAGTAACTCCATGTTACGATTTATTTCATATTCCAAATCATCCGACATTTGGTAATTTTAATATGCAAAACATTAGACAGACTCTTTCACAAAACTTTGTAATTACGATATGAACTTTACTTACTATGAAATGTGAAATGGTCGCCGTTATTTTTTTATACGTACCTTACTCAAAAGTTTATAAATTATTTTTCTCCCAATCTCAACGTTTTAAGCTTTTTACCTCGGAAAAAATTAAAATATTGTTGTCTTGAAAACCTCAAGAAGAGAAATGTATTTATTATTGTTCTGCTTCTGTCAGTTGCTCATGAGATATTTTTCAATTTATGGAAAGTATAGATATAACATAAGAAAAAAATAAAAATTGTAATAAATATCTTCATACATGCGTGGATATAGACACCTTTTTAGTTCACCTTGGAAAAATACTCACTTATGACAAATACTTTGAATTTATTACACCCATATAAAGTTTTCCATTACAATTTTAATTTATTTCAGATGTGGAAGGTGAAAATCCCACAAAAAAGTCGTTAAAAAGTCCATGATTTTCTCCACAAAAAAAGAACTTTGTTTAACGAATGGGTATAATTTGAAAGTAAAATCAGCAGGGTAATTTTATCAAAAAGCAACAAGAGAGGATTAGTAAATTGATGATCTCAGTTACCAATTGTACTCTATTATACATGCTGTAAGCGAAAATAAATAGTATCGTTATTATTATTAAAAATATTTGATTAAGTCATAAATAGTCAATATCTGCATTTCTTGATAAAATCTCTTCTCCTGTTACACCTCACAGTTCGATTGTATCGGGTTTGTTCGTAGCCCCTGGAATTCTAATCATTATCTAACACTCGCAGCAACTGTTCTATTACGCAATAATGATAATTCCGCGATTAATTAGTGCGGGACGGCGAGACAAAGACCCGTTCGATGGGCGGAACTAGAAAAAATGGCTATAGCCGTGGAAACAAGACAAATACATGTCTATTATCGAGGTAGCTAGCTTCAAAACTCTTCATATGTTCAAACATTCAATGAATCTAGAACATTTCAAAGTTGAGCTTCGATTCCGGAATGCATAAGTTTATTGCCTACAAAGCTGTTATGTTCCCTTGAAACTGAAAACATTTACATCAATTAACATTTAATCAAGATCATAGTTGAAAGCAAGGAATATTCTTCAAAAAACAATCGATCTTTTTTAGTTTTTCACGAAATCAATTCATAGAAAGGTTACATTTCAAAAAAATCCTGTCATTCGTTGAGATTTGCCTATAGAAACACCTAGAGTATTCGGATCCCCAATCTTCACACACTTTTGATTCGAACACTATTAAACAGTTGATCCAAAGTGAATCGACCATAAAAAATCTTTTTTGTATAGTTTTCAAGTTCAAAATCCAAATTAGGTTCGTATTCTCTGTACTTTCAATAACCCCGGAAAATATCCCTGTCACAATTTTCTGCAGTCATTAAAGTTCACACTCTTTGGTCGACACGTTGCCAATTTGCCGTCGTTGACCGGACTAAAAAATGCACATGCACTCGCCTACAGCGAACTCTGTCGGCAGGCAGGTGCGCGCCGTGTCATTTGCACGCCGACTCGCCTTGTAGCAGGCCAAGACAAAGCGACGACTGCATTCCGTTCGGCCTGCAAAAGATAATCAGGCAGAAAAAAGAATAACATACGATGAATTATGTCGGGGATGATGAACGGGGATACGTATCCGGTGCATTTGAAGTGATCGAGATCATTCAGATTTTGGCATAAGTGGAGGAGGAACAATCATGGGGTATGTGCAGGAAAACTGAAGCCTTTCCACTTGTTTACTAGTTTGCAAATCAATGCAGTTTTATGGAAATGCACAAACGATATCCTCAATATTTGTATCCTACTCAAACCAACACCTCCCAATAAAATTAGTGTGGAATTGGGGCAATGTCTCACAAGTCAAACCCACAATAATATGAGAAGAAATCTTCTTTCTGAGAAGACCATTTCTCAACGGAGACAATAGCCGAAAGGTGGCGCTGCACAGTTCAAGGAAAACAAAAAATGTCAGTTCATATCGAAATTTCTACAAAATATTCATCAGCTATTTCAACAAAAACTCTGTTGGCCTGTCTGTGTGAAAGTTTTATTGGAAAGATAATACTAGACCAACAGTAAGCAGTTTTCTGAAGCGTTTTTTTGCTTTCAAAGTTCTTCATTGAACTATTCTCTTCATGAAGTAATATTACCTCTGGTATATCAGAGGAATGATGTGTCGTTGTGAAGCATACCAATTTTTGAGGAAAATATATTAAAATTAGGCAGTAGCAGAAATTTATAGAGGTAATTAAAAGTTTGTGTTGTATGAAACTTTTTATATCTTGGGACTTAGGTTATACCATCCGTTTTCCTGAAAATGTTACTACTATATAGGAAGATAAAGTCTTCAAACATGAATTGAAATCATTTTTCCTAACCACTGTCTCTAATTAATGATCCATTGTAGAACTATGAAGTCAATCATATTGTTACGTTAAAAGTTCTCTATTATATTTTTTATGTTTTTTTAGACTGTAGAATGCAAAAGTACTCCTCGGCAATTGCTACCAAAATTCAATTTACATCTGTAAGAGTACCGTTGTGGGTTTAGGTTCGACAAGCATCGATACTCATACCGACATTCATCAATGTTTCCTCGAACAAGGTGCAGCGACATAACGCAACCTCGTGAATAGGGGCATTGATTGTTAATTTTGCGTGAAACTCTTGTAACTGACAAGTACATTGTGTGCAAATGGCAACCGAACTCTATAACCGGCGAACAAGGAAAATTAGTTGGTGCTATTATTTATTTTGATTAATGGTTCGATGATTTGTGTGCGCTTTGATGATTTGCGGACGACATTCATCAAAGTATATCGAGGGG